ACGAAGAAAAAGAAGGAAGTGAAAGTGTTTCCCTTTCTCCCCCCAAAAGCCCTCCCAAAACAGAGAGCAATGAGCTCTTTTTATAGCCTGCTAGCTGCTTGTTCCCCAAGCTTGCTACAGTGCCGGGTTCATTTCTGGGTCCAACCGGTCTGATTCTGGTTGGGGTCTTTGGGCCGACTCGGGTCGCTGGTGTTGGGCCGACTCGACTCGAGTCGCTGGCGTTGGGCCTTGCATTTGAGCTTGACCAATCCTTAACCTTGGGCTGGGTTTGCTTTAGGTTAGGACCTAAATTTCAGACTTGAACTGTGGGCTTGTCTTAATCTGGGCCTGATCTGACTTGGCTGCTTTCTTGTTGTTTTGTAGGTCCATTGCTGGCTTCAAAAAGAGAGGGAAGAAGCTTGCATTGATTGTGATTTTCATGTAATAATTGTTATTTATAATTCTGATTGTAATTGTGATTTGGTAATAATTTTAATAAAATGTGCTACTTCTTTATTATTAATTGTGTTGCACAAAAAAGATTCAAACTCAAAAAAAATGTACAAACGTTGATATTTTAGATTTGCAATGGTCAATCTAATTATCTTACATCTCAAGGTTTACGTTTAAACTTTTTAGATGGATAATTGACCCGGACAAAATGGGGTGTCTACAATAGTGACAGAGGAGTTTAGCGAATTGCCCTTGAAAATGAGTTTCTCTATCGCTAATGATGGCTCGAGGTGTCCCGAACCGGGAAAAGAGCTGCTTCAGAAATGAGCAAACACGTCTTGCATCATTGGTGGGCATGGCTTGAGCTTCTATCCACCTCAACACGTCTTGCATCATTGGTGGGCATGGCTTGAGGGACTCCATTAATCTTGATACCATCAATCAGCTCGTGGAATCGCCGTAGGTGCGCACAGGGGCACTCGCATGTCTTCCCATGGAACACCACTGAACCTCGCAACATGGTGATAACAGCGGTGCTCACCTCAAATTTGTTGGCAGCAACTTGAGGGTGTTGGATGTTGGACCTCATGTCTACGGCCCGGCGCGGTCTAGTAGTATCTCAGGGTATGCTCCTCGGTAACAACCGCCTCCACAGCATCGAGCTCACCCATATCTTTTTTGCTCTCAAATATGTCATCGACAATGACCTTATCCAAGTCCTCTTCCGTAGCCAGTCTTGGTTTGAGCGCTTTGAGCTGGCAACATGTCTGTACGATTTCTGGGTCTAACGGATGTAGATCTCCCGACTGGCTACGGTTCTTGAACTACCTGCACACAGCTTGCAGACACAACCTGTGAAGGCAAACAAGGTAAGGACAACAAATGCAGAAAAGTAAATGTTAAAGTAACAGACGTTCACGTTTCTACAATAACCTAGAGGTTCCCTGGCAACGGCGCCAAAAACTTGACTCGATACGACACAACACCAAACTACGACCAAGTATAATCGTAGAATGGAAATGCAGTACAATGGGTAAGTTTTACTTATCAACCCGGGGCCTAGATGTACTGCCTACTCCGTGATTTTATATTATCTAGCTGGGAAAGTTGAGTGAATTGTTCAAAGCAAAGTAAACAGAAAGCATTAATTGTTCTGGTTTTCAAGTTCGAGAAGGAACCACTCAGGTAATGATTCCCTCTAGCCTGAAGTTAAGTCCAGTTGTAATTCACCAGTCCAATTCAAATCAGATTTATACCGCAGAAGATCTCGAACTAGCTTGGAATATTTTAACCTGACCAAACTCTCTTAGACACGTTACCCTGCAGGCGACTAACTTTCACTAAGATAAAGTGCTAAGGTAAAATCATATCTCCTCTACTGGAATGAATACCAGTATAGAGCAATGGATTGATTGACTCTCGCACAATCCATTCACTACTTCCAAATCAGGATGCTCTTTTGTCCTATTTAGATTCTATCGTTCTAGGTCAAAGAAGGAAAAATACAAGTGTGATCAAAACTCGTAGATTTCTGAATAAAACTTCAATTGGATATATAATAATCAATGTACTAAAAAGGGTTCATACAACTGCTCCTAACATGTAAAACTAGGGTTCTTCATACCCAAGTGGTAGAGGAGAGTTTACTCCATGGAGAGAAGGAAAAATACCAAGCTTGGAAGAGAAATCATCATGGGAATAATCAAAATTTACTCCATACTGAAAATTAGTATACCGAGGGTTGTAGATCGAACTCCAATGTCTTTAATTCGCTCCAATCCGTGCCCAAGGGTGTTCTTCATCACTTTCTCTCTCTAGGGTTCTCTCTAGCCCTTTTGGAACTTAGAAAATTGGATTATGAGCCAACTTCCACCAACAGTAGCTTAGAAAGCCCGACACCGAAATCCACGATCTAAATCCACGGTCGTGGAATTAGAGTTCAGACCGCGAGTATTCTAAAACTTAGGCAGCAATTAGTGGCGATTCCAAAACCCACGGTTGCCTCCTTGAAATCCCTGGTGGTAGAAATTATGAGCCAAACCGTGGATTTCCACTGAGCAAAAAGTAGGGTCCATTCATTGAATCCACGATCGTGGATTTGAGCCACCAGACCGTGGATTTCGCTGCTTTGGCCTCTAGTTCCCGTTTGCTCTCCAATTGCACCCGACTTGCTCCTCAGCCTCCATTTACGTGCTACGACATGAAACATCATCGACAAGCACTGCCTAGCATAAAATAAGCCAAAAACAATCAAGAGTTAAGCCAAACGATCGAGAAATGTCGGGAAAAACATGTGCAATTAAGGTGCTATCAACAACCACCCTAAAAGTCAATTGTTGATAGCCTTGGGATATTATGGATGACATACATGTTTGAGTATGGGTGATGACCCAACGATTGAATCTCTTGCTCTAGATGTCCCATACCCTAGCCTTCCATCCCTCATGTTTATTCTGACATCTAACTATGAGCCTCCTCGTTTCAGAATGTGGTGTGCACCATTCAAAATCTTGATTCATTGCTTTAGTGCCAAATTGTTGACCCGTCTTAAACCAGTGGTTGGACTCCATATTGGCACCTTTGGCGGCTCCATGTCAACATCAACATACGAATTTTCATTTGGAATGTCCATGTAGTACAGGATAGGCACACGATCACAGGACACCTCATCATCTGAGCCTCAATCTGAATCTGGGGTTGAATCATCAGCACCTTCAAGAGGGTCGAAGTTGTATGCACTTACGTCGTCTTCCTCTTCTTGATCTTCACGGTCACTAACTGGAGCTGGCAACATATCTTCTATCTAATCTAGATCATGAAAGACACCATCATCAGCTCCATAATGGTAGTTGTGATAACTACCGCTGCCTCCATGGAAGTTGTACTCGGGTTGGTACTCTTCGCCTCCTTCTTAGTACTCATAGTACCGTTGGGCTTCTTCTTCATATGATGGGAAGGGTTGATGATGATGACCTCCACCTCCTTCATGGTACTCATGGTAGGAGTGATGATCATGGTAGGGTTGATCTTCATATACTCCATCCCCACCGTGAATACCAGATGTTTGGCCACCTCCAGGATGACCTTCATCACTTTCAACCTCCTTGGTGTAAACAAACATCTCTGTTTTGGAAATGTTATTGACATTCAAAAATTTGAGCATGGCATCAACTTCCTCCGTAGTGGTTATGAGTAATTCCACATACTACAATGACCCGCCTTCTCTGTTTGGATAACGATACAACATACGATCAACTCTCCTCATACCCTCCATGCAAGTAACCATTATGCACATTTGACGGAGCTCTTCAAGGTTTGGTCGCTTACCGGCCTTCACTTAATGAAAATCACTACCTACGTAACTAACACTCTTTCTAGTATCTTTTGTGTAACTATTCCATCATAACCCAATTGTGAATTTTCGAATGGACATCTATAGTAAAACGTAACTAATTTAATACATTAAAATTTTCAAATTAACCATGCGAATGAGATACTTTTTGAATGATAAGCATTTAAAATTCACAAAATAAACTGACGAAGTAATATAATTGCAAAAACTAAAAAAAATAGTAAGGAGAAGAACATAAATTAGAAGAAGAAAGAGAGGGAGTAGTGAAGAGTTGGGGTATCCGGGGCTGCCTTTAATAGGAAAAATGTCTCGATCAAACCACCACGACCCTTGCGGTCCACCTCAAACCGCTGGGGGAGGTGGCAGTTTTCAAGAAACATGCAAACCCCACGCCTTCAAACCCCCCGCATGCCAACATGTTGGTTGTTAGGGGATGGGGACACCATATAAACCGCCACTGACCCTTGCAATTTATATGTAGGCAAATTGGATCGTTGGGCCCAGTAGCATTCCTCTTTGTCGACATAGAACCATCGGGGATCCCCGCGGTTTGGTCTAGGTCAGCCATAAAACTGCTGTTGGTCCCGTGGTTAGTGATCAAAATTTAAACCGTCCCTACCCCATCGGTCTTTTTCTAAACCGCCACTGGGTGTTTCGGTTTATGTGAAAGGGTGGTATACTTGGAATTATTCTGAAAATGGTGGTATTTTCAAATTTTTTTAGTTTTTGGGTGGTATTTCTGAAAATATTCCTTCATTACCTATCTTTAACAAAACTTTCAATTAGCATTGCAGCTATAGTGTTGTGAAATGTGTGTTTCAATAATAAAGTTAGTATCTTGCGAGAAGACCGTACATAGATCTCATCTTAAAAATCCATAATTTTAATATGTGTTCAATTTCTAATGGAGATCTATAGGTCTCATAATACCTGCCAATACGATCAAATTAAACTGGATGATGTATCTTAAGTTCTTAACGGATTTTCATCAAAATAATAATTTATTTTAAATAAAAAGCTTTGGACCAACAAAGAAATTAAACAACAACTTAACCAACGTGATCCACTTAGAAGTTTCGAGCCCACTAAATTGGATTAGAATTTTATCCGAGCCCACTAAATTTTTGTAACTAATAACGGTTTGTGACCATTTTGTTATTCACCAAAAGTTAAGTGAGCATTTTTGGCCAATTACCCTCAAATCCTTCTTATCACCGAAAATTTTCACATTCGGCGGTGGAAGAAGTAAGAACTAAGAAGTCCGATTCAACTCCGTCGACCCTTTTCTGAATCCTATTATTTCTCTGTCCCCTTCTTCTGATGGCGAATCCGTACAGATCCAGGTTAGTAAAACTTCAAAATTGATATCATGTGCCATTTAATTTTGCCGTTCCTTTAGTGATCCGTCGCGATTTTATGCTTCTATTTTGCAGTGAAGGTCTAAGCGCGCGACCGGTATTGACGGGTTCCGCCGACGAAGTTCAATTGAGGATCGACCCGGTTCACGCCGACCTCGACGATGAAATCCTCAGTCTTCAAAGTCAAGTTAGCCAGCTGAAAAATGTAAGCTTTTCCACCTCTTTGTTTCTCCAATTCTCGCTTTTCATTGGCCAAAGTTGCGATCTTTTCATAGTTTAGGGATAACAAACGCAGTGTTAGTCCTAGAAGCTATGCTCTCGGCTTATGGGCAGTTCTAGATTTCTGAATTTTTCCTGAATCTAAGTGGCTTCGGTTGTTGTTGTCGTTCTTGCGAGGATAACATGCTTCATTTATGTTTTGCCATTCTCTTAAGATATTCTCTGAATGACTTTGCTTGCAGGTAGCCCAAGAAATTGAGTCGGAAGCAAAATATCAGAATGACCTTGTATCTGATTTGGTAAGAGTCTACGCCATTTGTTCTGTTCTGTTCTGTTAATTTATGTTAAGAACACCATAATTTGTGCCCCTGTGTGGGAATCAATGCAATTGTTTCATTGAAGATGGTAGATGGATGGATCGAACCCTTTAAATTTTTCTAGTGTAGCAAACTTGCATGATCGAAAACAGGGTTTTATTCTGGTTTGGCAAGTTGTCTTGTGAACCACATATACTGCTGTCGCAAGCGGCAGCTATAGCACTTAATAGTAAATGGTAAAACACGGATTTCTTATCTTACCTATCTATTTCCTGTTTTGTTTGATGCAACAGCAAAGATTGATGAGCAATGCTGAGGCAGGGGTGAAAAATGGGATGAAGAAACTGAATAGAACAGTTGCGCAACACAAATCAAATCACATACTACAAGTAATTGTATTTGGTCTGATGTGTTTTGCTGTAGTCTATCTGTGGACGAAAGTCTGGCGTAGATAAGATTCATACATGTTTTCTGTTATGGTACTTGGCTGGTACTATATCATTCCCAGTCTACTTAGATACATTCATGTAGTTTGCTGCAGTCCGACAGTTGCCCTGTAAACATATCTGCAAGTGTTTGAAATGTTGCTCACAGAAGATCGACGTTTGGTCTTCAACTTACTTATTGATGGGAATGGAAGGAATTGGAGGTGATTTGTTTATCCGTTCTGTTTCCAATGCTGTCTGTGTATGTTTGTGATGATGGATTATTGATGGCTTAAGTAATGGGAGACTTCATTCATACATAAGTTGCTCGAAATCAGCATTTTTGGAGAAGTGTGGTCTGCACATCTGCGAGCAATCTTCTTGATTCCTTGAGCAGGTACAGAAGAAAAAACATTATAACATGCGTAGCTACAGATGGATACATACAGGATACAGCATTCACCCCACCTAACTTCTATAGGTTTTCTCAACGTCAAACTCTTCTGAACATTCTTCTTTGCATCAACTTACTCTTCAAACGCTAAGCTGTGGTGTTTGACTTTGAATTCTGTCCATGCTAGATTACAGACAGCAATGCACAACAAGAGTTTAGTCTGAGCTTCTTAATTAGAGGCTGGTAATAGTTTTGAGCTCGTGATTACACGTGAGACCACTAGACCAGAATTCTGCAGAAGAAGAAGGAAGGAAAGTACGTACGTTGAGTCAGTGATTAATGCGATTGAGATATACTAACCATCGACAACGTTAATGTCAATGCGTGTCACTGTCAAATTGACATTATATTATCATAAATCGTAATTAAGCAGAGGTAGAGCGCAATTGAGATCGAGCCAATTCCGTCGCCGTCAATCCCCAAAAGTATTAACCGTTCCAAATCATTGGCGTGTAGCGCGGCGCCAGCTTTTATCCATATGGATGTCTCGACCCGTGATCACAGGGGCAGAGACAATTAATTGAGATCTTACTTGCGTTAAACATGTGGCCGAGAATACAAGAAACCTTCTTGGGGAAATATGCTGATCAAGATTAATTTCCCACTCGCCTCTTCAATACATCCTATTATTGCATTGGTGGCATTGTGAAAGTCAACCAAATTCTAATCAATAATCACTGGTTGATTGATATACCATGTAATTCAAGTTAAATTGTCTGGATAGTACATTTAAATGGTATATATTGCATAATAATGAGTTAACGACATTAGAATCTGAATGAGTGATCTACCTGGCCAATATTAAGGAATAAGGATGACAAAAAAATCTGTAGCAGTAGATATTTGTTCGAATCCCACCTGATTGAGTAGGGTAAAACCCGAACTCGAAGGATTTTAGTGGGTACGAGTAAAATTCGAACTCGAACATTGCGAGTAATGAGCGGGCATGATGTTCTTACTATCCAACTCGAGTCCACCCGGTTATACACATCCACATCAACTCCCACAAGTTCAATTCCAAAATGGTTAGCCCCAGACCCAGTTGATTCATTTCTATTGAATAGTCGATTATTACATCTCTGCAATATCAGCGCCACAGAATTCTGAGGTGTTTAAGAGACTAAGAGCTCACAAGTTAGTAGATAGATTTCTGCATTATTAATCGTATAGAACCAGGACATCTTCCACACTGTGCAGATTAACTAGTTTATGGATATGCACATAAATGGATGGCACCCCATCTCTTTTTTACTTATTTATACAACTTTCATTACCTTGCTGAACTAATTAGATTTATATATAACACCATATGTAGGTCGGTTCGGAGAAAGAAGTGTCTCCACGCGGAGGACAACTGCCACGTGTCCACGACGATCTACATGATCATCTTTGGCTGCATCCAGCTGACCCTTTGCCAGGTCCAAAACTTCCACAAGCTGTCGTGGATCTCCATACTCGCCGCCGTCATGTCGATCACCTATTCCTTTACTGGATTGGGTCTCTCCGTAACCAAAGTTGCTGCAGGTTAGATATATTCATGTACAAAGTTTAAGTAATGTTAAATGTGAAATATATACATACCTAATGAACTCAATTGAATGAAGGAGCTGAGGCAACAACGATGTGGCCGACGGTGTCAGAGGTACAGAGGTTGTGGAAAATTCAGTGTCGGATTCAGGATATAGTAGAGCACTAGGCCAAATTTCATTAAAAAATTAGATACAATAAAAAAAAATCATAGGTTTTTTACAATATCAATTGTACACATCGATCTTTTAATATAGCGAATTCATCAATAATGGAGTTTACATCCATACCAATAGCATATTACTCTCATTCAAATAAAATAGTTAACCAATCAACGAAAAATTCATCGCTCATTTTGTTGGGCAAATCATATTTCACTTGTTTCATTGTTGAAAAGGTTTTCACCATAATAGCTTTTGAAACAAACAATGTCAATACTAGACAAATCAATTGACTAATCAATTTGTATTGTCTGTTCATCCCTATTTTCACCAACTGCTCTAGTAATTTTTCAAGGGAACAAACCTCATAGTTCATTTAGTCTTTTACATTTTAGAATTTTAGAATTTACATTGTTTGTTTTTCTTTAGAAAGGAATCATTCGAGTTAGAATTTCTACGCTAAATTTAGAGTTGTGATGTGAATATGTTCATCTAACCCTTTATCTCAATCACACAATCTTATTATAAAATAACACTAGACCGAATGGCTAAAATCAATAAACTCATAAGGACCGTACTAGCTCCGGATCCCGAGGAGAGCTGGGCCGAGGCCCGGGGTGGCCACCCTGGATCCGCCACTGAGAAAATTTTCCAAGCAATTGGCAACATTGCCTTTGCTTATACCTACTCCACCGTCCTCATCGAGATTCAGGCAAGTAGTCATTTCATATTATCCCTCGTCATGGTAAAATTAGTAAAATGTTTAGTATTGACTAAGACAAGCATGCATCGACGCAGGCAGGGGGGAGCCAGAGCAGCCCAAGGTGAATCGGCTGCACCACCTTGGCTTTACAACACACAGACAAGTAATAGGTTTTTCCGTTCTTCATATTTTATTCTGTGTTCATACTCTGTTCTTAGTCCAAGCTTGCATAAGCTGCTGCTTTGATCGAAACATATATAAAGGGAACCTTGTTTATGTGTTTAATGAAAACGTCTGCGTTTTAAAATTAGTTGTAGGTTGTAAATTGAAGTGAAAGTGAGTTTAAAATTTAAATATCACTTTAACATAGTGTTTTTTGATGGGCTTGCTAGAAAAACGAGTTCTCCTGGATATGTGGGCTTGAGTTTAAATTTGTGGTCCATTGGCTTCTCTTTACTTCATATACAAACTCAATTGAAGTCAATTAGGGTAGACTTTTCGGATAAAAGTCTAATTTTTCTAATGAAAGCAGAGACACGCACCATCAGGACTAACACCTCTTAATCCTCCCGGATCGACCGAATTTCCTTGGTGGTTAATGGGTAGGTGGTTGGCTAGAAGACGATGTTGCTGGCAGTCTGATCATGAAAATAAGAATATTATTGTTTCTCATCATCTGATTCAAGTTACCTATTGTCGTTTATTGGGATCTATATTACTATTCGACCCACCTTACCAAATTCCTGCCTACGCCCCTGGACGCAGGACACCCTGAAATCGAGCCCCGCGGAGAACAAGACAATGAAGCGGGCGAGTTTTGTGGGCATCTCAACTACGACCATTTTCTACCTTCTCTGCGGTTGTGTCGGCTAAGCGGCGTTTGGAGAACACGCGTCGGGCGATTTAATCTCCAGCTCCGGATTCTACCAACCGTTGTGGCCAACGTCTGCGTGGCTATCCACCTAACCGGCGCGTACCAAGTAGGTCCAATTAAATTAAATTAAGTTAAATCCGTCAATGAATTCCCTTGTAATTAAATATATTCGTTCAACTAATAATTTTATATATATTGTGTGATTCACAGGTGTTTGCACGACCGATTTTCAGCTGTCGTCAGAGGTGGCCAGAGGTCAAGTTCGTGACGACGAACCACCATATCACCATTCCGTTCCTAGGTGGCACGAGCTTCCACATCAATTGGTTCAGACTGGTTTGGAGGTCTGCCTATGTGGCAGTGACCACCGTCTTGGCCACTCTCCTCCCGTTCTCCAACGTCTTTTGGGCCTGATCGGGGCAGCCTCTTTTTGGCCTCTGACCGTCTACTTTCCGATCGAGATGTATATTGCTCGAGCGAAAGTTTTGAAACTCTCCTTCAACTGGGTGTGCCTGCAAGCCTTGAGCCTGGCCTGTCTGTTGGTTTCGCTCATCGCAGCAGCTGGATAAGTGGAGGTCCTGATCCAGTCTCTCAAAACTTACCACCCTTTTAAGAATGAAGTATAATTTATTTAACACCAGAGGTTTGAGTTACTATTCATTAGTGTCTCTCAAAAGTAAATCCGCCCGCACGGTTTTACTCTTGAGTGTCCTCCCCAAAAGGCCTCGCACTAATTGGGCTAGGTGGACACTAATATACAAGGTTTCTTACCTTGTATTACCGATTTGGTACTTGGATTGTCCCATAATAATCCTCCCCTCAAGCCAAGGACCATGAACTTTGTGTCCTCACCTCAACGATTATCTTGATCTACCAGACACATTAATCCGATGGGCTTCTCGGTACAAGGACTTTACCAGACGCGGATGTAACACCCTACCCTATACGTATTACCTAATCATATTGTTCATACAATTGCAGCGGGAATAATCTCGGGTGTTACATTAATTATCAAAAATCAAATGAAATTTCGACATGAATTACTCGCGTAATGGGCTAACAGTTCTTGTAACTAAAACCTGCAAAATAATTTATTTGAATCCCTGCATCCATAAACAAACATATATACTCACAACCATATACATTGGCTTTCATATCCATATGCACAGTTTCATACTCCACAACTGCATACCTTACTAATACATATCATAGTCGTCATAACTTACACAACCACATAAATATACACATATCATCAACTTTCCACACCTGTGGATATCTTACACTACATCAGAAGCTAGTATGCACATGAAAAACGTTATTAAAACATTTTTTTACAAAAAGGTGTGGATCACTGGCCAAAATCCCGAGTAGTAGTCCAAGCACAAAATAGTTGAAGACCATACCTCATCTTGCCTTCAACTCTTGCTCAGCTCCCACCTATACACCTATCTACTGGTGCTGCTGATGATGATCTTCTTACGCATGGCATAAGCAGAGAAAAAGGATAAGGAGGGTCAGCTCATAGCTGAGTGAGATAATCATAGCATCGTAAGTTCATAACAGAGCATACCCCTACCATACATCTAGCAAACAAACCAAAGCACTAGGGTCAGACCTCAGGCATCCGACATCCCAATAGGCAAAAGACTCAACCACCTTGACTTATGCATATGCATCTTATCATGTTTACTTATATGCGCCTGGCTACTCCCATGCTAATAACTCTCCCGGGAAACATACCCCACATCCCGTCGGATGTAGTCATACATACCCCAACATCCCGTCGGATGTGGCCATGCATATCCCACACCATTATGGGTGTAGTCATACCCCGACACCGCTCTGGGTGTGGTCATATCTCGTAAGAATTCTTCATCACCACCACATGCGAGGTGTGACTATCATACATATTATAATAGAGTAATAGCATAGGGAGCCCTAATTACTATGTAGTTACCGTGAGACCACAACACTCATATTTGGTATACTTATACATGATTCATATCTCATCTTGCTTAATCATAATTCATTACTTGCGCATGTACTTGACCAGGCCATAATTGGCTCAACATAAGTAAATCAGGAGTCGTATAATTGCACTTCCTCGGGATAAACCCTCGTGCAAGTCATCCTCCTTAAACATCATAATATCACCCTGAGATATATATTTTCCCACTTGTGCATCCAAATACAACCACAATATCACATCATGTCAAAACACCTGATCGAACAACCATGAAGTCATATAATTAGTTAAGCCACAAATGGAAACAGGTATGCAATCATCAGCATAAACAAGGTCCATATCGATTAGGGCAAGTCAATAATATCATACAGCAGTCCAGGGTTCAATATATAGCACAAAAGTTCATACACCCCTAATCATGCCATTCTAGTTCACGTAGGTCAATTCTAAGCATCAATATAATTATCTTGATACGACAAACCCGTTATGCCGTGCTAATCCTTCACCAGTTCTGGTCGTTCAAACACCGGTTCTAGCCTCCCGTACCCCAACTTCACTTTCTCAAACAAACCCAGAATCAAAATCCGAGATTATCCTAATATCCCCTGCAGTATCCCCGTCAATATTAGTTCTAGGCTCCGGGTCAAATTCTTGATAAAAACGCATCAAACCCTGGCCGGAGCTAAATTCAGCGATCCCGACTCTGACCTAAATAATAGCTGAAATTTATGGATTAGAATCAGAGAATTAATTACCTCGCTGCAGGAAGCTCGTATATGAAATTTGGGCTCAATCCGGCTTCCGGATACTCCGAAACCCTAATTTGACTTATCGGAAATTCAAGAAATTCCTGAACCAAAAACTCATTTTAAAGCTCTAAATCGATAAATCACGATGTATAGATGAATTAGGCATTACTTACGGGATTTTTGGATCACTAAAGCTTAAGATTTGAGCTCTGAGAATTTCCGTGCTCACCTCCCCTGCGCGCCCTCTGCTCCAGTTCTCTCGGTCCAGGAAAAAAAAAGAATGAAACGATGATGTTGGGAAAGAAAATGGACTGAGGAAGGGAATTAAAAGGACCGGCCGGAGTATATATATATATATATATAAAATTAATACGTATACTTATCCGATCGAGCGATAATCCGGTTTTTGTCGAAATACTGTCAAAATGCTCGATTTTAAATTGTGAAATTTTCTAGTGACAGTAATGCGATTTTAGACGAAACGGGATGTTACAATTCTCCCCTCCTTAAAAGATTTCATCCCCGAAATCTAACCTTGAGTTGTACCCTTAGTCCGCTTACTTACCCTTGACATGGTCTATCGTAGATAAACCATTACCTAACTTTTAGGATAGGCGATTCATAACATAGAAAGTAACACATAACACCTCAAGTTCCCATGGTTCGGTTTCCAAAACCTATACTGGGCTATCACAACAAAAGCTCATCAACAAGTTCAAAACATAACTTACTAAGCAAGATTGTTAACCTGCAAAGTAGGTTGCTACTAACTCAGGGTACTTCTTTCGCATACTTGCTTCAGTCTCCCAGGTAGCACTCTCACTATCTTGATTTCTCCACACCACTTTCAACATTGGGATTTCTTTCTTGCGAAGAGTCTTAATCTGGTGATCAACAATCTGAACTGGAACCTCCTCAAAAGTCAAATCTGGGCCTAACTCGATCTCCTCTGGTTGTATTACATGGGAAGGATCCACTTTGTATCTCTTTAACATGCTCACATGAAATACATTGTGGATTTGGGATAGCTCTGGAGGTAATGCTAGCTTATAAGCCACTGGTCCAATTTTCTCTATGATTTCATAGGGTCCAATATACCAAGGTGCAAGTTTCCCTTTCTTACCAAATCTCATTACACCTTTCCAGGGTGACACTTTGAGGAATACTTTCTCACCCACTTCGAAATTAACTTCACTCCTACTCGTGTCAACATAAACTTTCTGTCGATCTTGAGCCACCCTCATACGCTGCCTAATTTCCTTGACCTTATCAACTGTGATCAGAACTATCTCTGGCCCTGAGATTTGCCTTGCTCCTTCTACATCCCAACATAATGGTGTTCTACACTTCCTCCCATAAAGTGCTTCATATGGTGTTACACCCAAGCTACTATGGTACTCGTTGTTGTAAGCAAACTCAATTAAGGGTAAATGGTCAATCCATGATTCCTCCCATTGCATTACACATGATCGAAGTAACTCTTCCAAGGTAAGGATGGTTCGTTCACTCTGCCCATCTGTTTGAGGATGATAAGCTGAAGTAAAATGTAGTTTAGTTCTCAAGGCATCATGTAAACTTTGCTAAAACCGAGATGTGAAGCCGGGTCTCGATCAGAGACAGTAGAAATTGGCACACCATGCAATCTGACGATCTCCTTAATATATAGTTGAGACAAGGTCTCCAGTGATGGTTTCCATCTAATGTGTAAAAAGTGAGCCGATTTGGTCAGTCGGTCCACAATAACCCATACTGCATCTTTTCCCCTTGACGATGGGAGACCATATACAAAATCCATTGTGATTCTTTCCCACTTCCATTCTGGAATTGGAAGTGGTTGCAGTTTTCCCACAAGAGCTTGATGTTCTGCCTTAACTTTCTGACATACTAGACATGTGAAAACATGTTCAGCTGCTTCCTTTTTCATCCCACGCCACCAAAAATATGGTTTGATCGTGTGATACATTTTAGTTGCTCCTGGGTGCATAGCATAAGCAGAAGAATGAGCTTCATCTAGGATCTCTTTCCTCAAGTTATCAACATTAGGAACACATGCCCTTCCATTAATCTTCAACATGCCATCTACCATTTCAAATGGGCTTTCCTTTCCTTCCTCAATGTCTTGAATAATTTTTGCCAACTCTGGGTCCTCCTTCTGCTTTTCACGAATTTTGTCATGCAACAAAGGTCGAATGTTCAACCGAGCTAGTAACCCTGTCACACCATCCACTTTCAAATCAACATTCATTGCCCTCAAATCAACCAGATCATTTATATTCTTCTTCCCCTTTCTGCTTAGGGCATCAGCAACTACATTAGCTTTACCTGGATGGTAATCAATTGTACAATCATAATCTTTTAGAAGTTCAATCCATCTCCTCTAGCGACTATTCAAATCCTTCTAATCCATAATATACTTCAGGCTTTTGTGATCAGTTAGGATTTTAACAGTCTCACTATACAAATAATGTCGCCCAATCTTGAGAGCAAATACAACCGATGCCAATTCTAAGTCTCGAGTGGGATAATTTACTTCATGAGGACGCAATTGCATAGAGGCATATGCGATAACTCTTCCATCTTGCATTAACACACAACCCAGTCCTTGATATGAGGCATCACTATACACCACAAACTCTCCATGGTTTGAAGGTAATGCAAGTACTGGTGTTGTGGTCAATTTCTTCTTCAGTTCATCAAAACTCTTTTGACATGATTCATTCCAAACATACTTGGTATTCTTCCTCAACAGCTTAGTCAATGGTGCAGCAATTTTAGAAAATCTTTCTACGAACCGCCGATAGTAACCTGCCATGCCAAGAAAACTTCTCAACTCCGACACATCTTTTGGTGGAGC